CAAAAGCTGTTTAGTATATTTCCAGATGACCTGATAAAGAAATAAAGTGAATAAAAAAATACTCTCCCTGGTTAACTCGTCAAATTAACAGTACAAGCATTTGAGTGGAATAAATAGATAGATAGATAGATAGATTTAATTTAAACAATTGGATAAAATATAAAAGTCAAAGCATTGTTTGAGAGCAAAACTTCTCACCTGGGCCTTCTGTCTTGTCGCATTGCTGCTTCCAATCATAAACAGCCACCAAGAAAACAATCCGAGATCCAATCATTAACTTTGACCAATTATATATAAAAAATATTTATATTTATATTTATAATACATAATTAGTATCATTAGATAGATCGTTGAATATACTTTTATAATAAACTTATTTAGAGATATAAATGTTGCACGTATTTTCTACAAACCTAGTCAGAGTTAAGAAAGTTTGACCTGCATTTCTTTTTGGGACGAAGGGAGTATGTCCTAAGAGCATCCTCAAGAGTTCTTTAAAAATATCTCCCTATTTTGATCTTTTAATAAAAAATAAAAAAAAATTCTCCAATAATTTGGTGAAAGAGCTCTTTAAAAATAAAAAGTTGCCAAATATTCTCTTCAACTTATAAGTTTACGCAGTCGATCTATATTCGCTCCTCGTCCAAAGTGTTTCTCGGGAGATTGGAGGAAATTGAACGCATGAGTAAATTAAGAAAATAAAGGGTTTTAAGTGAGAAAATAGTAAGAGACAAAGGAACTATTAAAAAAAATATTTGGTTGGCTACAAATAGTTTCGGGTTCCCAAGCAAAATCATTTAGGAAGCTAATATATGAAACTATTGGAGAGGGAAATAAATTAAGGTTGCTATTCATTTTGTTAACTCGCTAAACTTATTAGATTAGCAAATTATTTATAAGAAATACTTGGATTTGCTCTGTTGAGGTTTAAATAACCAACCTGGCTTATAGTCCTGCTAAGATTTTGGAGCAAAACAATCAAATTCTTCTGTATTGCCTGTTTGGCAAAGAGGTTAGTTGTTGCCAAAGATGTGAGATCTGAATCAACTGGACTTTTGGTTTTACAAGAAGTGGCTTTTCTATGAGAATCACTTCTCATTGAGCTAAACAACAAAATTCTAATCAGATTCTAGTGGGAACATATATGAATCACTTCTCCATTTACTCTAGGAGCTAAAAAACCTCCTCATTCAATCTCCACTAGGATCACTTTCCACCTACCCCCGCCAGAATCACTCCATTGAGAATCAAGAAGCTAGATATATGCCAAACAACTTCAACTAATAAGCCAACTAATATCTATCTCATTAGCTAGCCAAATTCTGCTGATATATTGCCAAAATACTATTTTGTCCTTCCATTGCTCCCTTTCTCTAGCTTTGTTAATCTTCTCTAGACAAAACAACGACAAGGCATTAGACATTTTCAATATTTCAACCATATACAACCCACTTAATAACTAACCAGCTGGTGTTAACAGTGGCGGATGCACCATGCGGGATAAGGGGGGGCTAAAACAATGGAGATGTTGATTTGCATGAAGATTTAATGGTGAAATCAAGCCTTTGCTACAGTGATTAGGCTTGAAATCAAGACATTAGGGGGGGCTGGAGCCCCCCTAGCCCCCCCTTTGGATCCGCCACTGGGTGTTAACTATGATATGCTAATAACCAAATAAAGTTTAGGAGTATGTCTGCTTCGTGAAGAGCTTAGCTGTTGCCAAAGATGTAAGAGCAGAAACAATTGGATTTTTTGTTTTGAAGGTGACTAGAAAAATGTAGCATTTTCGAACTGAAAAGAATTTAAATAACTAAAACCCCGTATGAATCCACTATTTCTAATAATAATTTACTATGGATCCAAACAGGTCCAACTAATTAGATAGCTAATAGTTAGATGTGCCTAGCTACCGATTGTGTCCTTAGCTAGCCAAGTCTAACTAATATAGATCGCCAAAATACTGTTTTATCTTTGCACTGCTCTTCTCAACTTCACCAATCCTCTCTAGACAAAACAAAGACATGAGAATAGCCCATCTAATATGATATATTAGCCAGCTATAAATACTGGGCTCCAATTTAGCTATAATATCAAACGACTTTTGAATCCACTCAAAAAGAAAAAAGAAATCAAACGACGTCTGAAGCAAATCAATACTGTACCGTTTTTCCCCCTCTTTGGCCGTGGTTGTGAAAGGGAGAGAAAGACATGAGCATAGCCCATCTAATATGATATAACAACCGGGCTTTTCGTTTTGGAGGGAAGTTGCGCGCCACCTGATTTCCTTCATCTGCTTCAAACGCGGCGAGAGATCGGAGGCCAAAGCGGCGCGCGAACAAGGCTGTGGTCTCAACCCCAAGCACCGCGCGTCTCGACTCCCCGGCCCCCCTCCCGCCCTCCGCCTACGCGCCTCCCGGTCCCGGCCTGCGCGCAGCGTGGCGCGCCCGGTCTCCATCCGCCGTCGCCGCCTCCGTCCGCGTGGCCCTCCACCTCTTCTCTCCGCGAAATCGATGTCCTTTTTCTAGGTCTCCGGCGCACGCCTGCTCGCCCGACGGAATGTCGTGGCCAGAATCTTGGAACCACAGCTGTGTCTCTGTGCGCGGCCGCGTGGGTGCGTGTGTGTGTTTCCATTCTGTGGTAGCGTTCATTCCGTTTGGCTGAGACGGGAGAACAGGGATGGGAAATTTTCTCTTGGTGGTCCTCGTGCGGGGCTTCACCAGAGAAGGGGCGAAAAGGGGTGGGCGTTTCTCGTAGATCCGTTTTAAATTTTTGTAGGATTTAACTTGAAGAGGATGAACACTGGCCGAAACTCGTGGGTTTGACCGTTTGAGTGATTCACACATTGCCTGTTTGAATTGCTTGCTACTTAGAGTGCTGTACTGTTTTGCCTTTGTGCAACGGGCGCATTACAAAATCAAGTTTATTACGATATATCTAAATGGAGTGTCATTTGGAAAACAAGAATAAATGTGATATTTATTTCCCATCTTTGTTTAGTTTTTTATGTAAATTTTCATCAAGAGAATACCTGTAATAGCACTTTGGTGTATTTGCCGGCACATCAATGCAAAAAAAAAAAAAATTGAATGAATGTCTCATTGATTGTGTTTTCATTATATTTTGGTTCTGCATACATTAGTGCATTTCTTATGATTGTGTTTTCATTGTATGGCCAGTCTGCATGCAACAAGAAGCCACCAGCATCCACTCCACCGCCTGCCATCTATCACCGTCACTGTGTACTGCACGGTATTCTTCTCCATTCCCCATCCTTGTAGCTATTGCTTTTCTCTCTGCAGATTTTTGTAGTTCTGGATTTTCGACACACCTGCTAAATTAAAATGCCGCCAGAAAATCTGGAATTCATGTGTCTTTTTTGTCGATCATACTGGATTTACTGAGAGAAGTGGCGACCTATATGGTTTGATGTCTTCTTTTGGGGAAACTATGCATCCCTTACTCCCTTAGTGTATTTAGGCTCATGTAGATCTGTTATGAAATCTTGCTGAATTTCAAAGTGCTTTAAGGTTGTCGTACAGTGGGCAAAGTTAAGGCAATTAAGTTCTGCTGGATTCTTAGGAGTTGGATATGATCTTATGAACGGTTCTTTATCAGTTGTAGTTCTGGCAAGGAAAAAACCACTGTTGTGTTATGATATGCCCAATTGGTAAATGCTAGTTGACAAAGAATACATAGTAACTGTAGAAGTCTGCTTCTGTACACTCAAGAGCGAAAATTTGCTGATTTGATGTTCCCTTTATATTAAAACACTACTTTATCCATGTTCTGTTTGCAGCACAATATGTGTTTGTACTACTTGCTGTTTCTGGTGTCTGTCCCATTTACATAAACCGAAGTAATGGAACATCTATTAAAGAGATGTTATTTGGCAAACAAGAATGGATATGATATTTCATTTCCCTAATATTTTTGGGTTTTCCTTGTAAATTTCATCATAGTCGAGAATACATATCACTTGTCAGTTTGTATGTCTCAGTGCATCAATGCAATAAAGGTCACATTAGTCCAACTATCTACAATTGTTCAGTTCATTCTTTCATATATCTGCATCTTTTGTTATTAAATCTTCAAATTGATTGCTCTCGTTGGTGTTCCAAATTTCCATTTGCAATCGCTGAGATGTTAGAGGGCAAAAGCATATTGTTACAAATGATTCTGCAAAGCATTCAAGATCTGTTCTTAATATACTTTAGGTGTTCTGTTATAGGATTATGTATGAAAATAGAACGTTAGAATACTGGAATTACATGATTTCAGATGAAATGTAACAAGGCAGGCAAATATGAATATGTATATGCTTATGTTCTGTTTTCATAAAAGAGGCGTGTCAAAGCAGTAGGTTCAAGAGGGGACTTATTCTCATGGCTAGTTGTTTTTTTCAGGAAACAAGTAAGAAGGGATGTGCAACGAGAGTTTATATTCCACAATTATCTCATGTGTTGAGAGCTGTTAAAATATGAAAGAATAATACAAAGACAAAACATAGGTCTATAAAGGATCAAGTCTCATCAATTCTCATTCCACTAGATAGTGAAATGAAGATAAATGAAAAGAAATTGGAAAAAATTCAACAGAATAGGACTTCACATGGCAAAGACAGGAGCTTGAACTCACATGATCCATTCTCTTTTGTTCAATAAACAAATCACAATATTAGTAGAAACAATCAACATTTTTCCGCTGTGTTTTATTGATATTCTCCTTATTATTTACCAAAGTATAGGATTTTATTCTCTAGAGGAAAGGCTTAGTATTTAATTTGCAATGCTATTTTTGAAATTATATATTTGTACTCTTTCATACCCAGTTGATATGTTCTAAAGTGCTAATATATCACACACTGGTATGAATATTCCAATTCTATGACCTAACTGATCTCTTATTGCTTATGCAGGATCTTGATGAAGACAAACGATATACTTTGCTGTTAGAATACTCCACAAGATTAATAACCAATCCCTCTTTGGCAGTTCATCAGAATGGAGTGCAACAAGGAAGAAGCTTCAAGAGCTAAGGATTTAGCTGTGGTAAAGCTGCAAGAAGCAGACTATGCTGGTGCTAAAAGGATTGCCCTCAAGGCTCAAAAGCTTTTCCCTGGCCTTGAAAATATTTCTCAGCTGTTAACTGTTTGTGAAGTTCATTGCTGTGCTGCTGTTAAGATCAATGGGGAGGCTGACTGGTATGGTATCCTTCAAGTAGAAACAACTGCAGATGACATGTTACTCAAGAAACAATACCGCAAACTTGCTCTCTTACTCCATCCAGATAAGAACAAGTTTGTGGGTGCTGAAGCTGCCTTTAAGCTAATTGGAGAAGCTCACATGATACTGACATATAAAGTAAACCTTTCGCGTCATGACTCAAAAAGGAACTCAGTTATTCCAAAATCTGCACCAAAGAAGCATGGACGACCATCAAAGAAAACTGACTATGTTGCTAAGAGGGCCAATAAGGAGAACACTGATGCTGGATATTCAACTTTCTGGACCATTTGCTTGACTTGTGGAACCAAATACCAGTATCCATATAGTTTTCCATATAGTTTGTTGATGAAAGTTCTCTGGTGCCAGATCTGCTCAAAGAGTTTCGTTGCTTATGATTTGTCTAAGAAACCATCTGTCAGAGTGGAAGCATCAAATCCATTGACTGGATTTGGGATGCAACACCAAATGTTCCCCCCAAATCAATGGACACACTTTGCCAACCAACAACACAATTACCAGTGTGTCCCTACTCAGCAAAATCCTATCACTGGTCATCAAGCTCCTGTCCCCAGCCAGCAACAGCAACCTCAGGATGTCTCTGGTAAGCAAACTCCAGACATTAACTAGCAACAACGATCACAGAAATTCCCTTTCAGTTCAGGGCCAAAGAATGTGGTAAATTCTCATCCATGGGGTGGATCTGGTATGCAACAGGAAATGTGTCCTCTGAGTCAACCCACACATGTGTCTGACCAAAAACTCTACTATCAAAGGGCCCCCTGTCAGCAAAACCCTGTCAATGGTCATCAAACTCCTGTCACTGACCATCAACAGCAATCTCCGAAAGTTGTGGATAAGAATACTTCTGTCACTACCCAGCCACAATCTACAAAAACCCCTTTCAATTCAGGATCAAAGAATGTAGCGAGTTCTCAAGGGGCAGCCTTCCCGAACAATAATGCAACTGCAAACAGTAACCTTATGGCTGAAGCTGGGGCTTGTAATAGAGAAAAGATTACAAGGCCATCATTCAATGATGAAAATGGCGAAGATAGAACTAAATCACCAGTTGTGAATTCTGATAAAGTTGATCTAGTAAACGAGCAAATGAAGGGAAAGGAGGTGACTACAGGATCCAGTCATCCTGTTGCCATAAATGGTAGCCAGGTTGCTACGAAAGATGATGTTCTTGCTGCCACAAGTGCAGATTGTTGACATAAAAATTTCGTTCCGTGCCGAGGACACACGAGTAAGCCGGAAGGGTCCGCTTGATGGAGCTGGAGATCCGCCTAGCTTTAGCGCAGGGGTGGTCGATCCTGCGTACTCCTCCGTAGACGTGTCAGTCAATTTGACCCTGTAATTGATAAGGAGAGAAAGGTTATCAGTAATTAAGGGCGGAATGTGCCGGTGTTGCCAGACAGTCCCGAATGTGCGGTTTTGAAAGCCGATATGAAAGGAGATCGACTAAATAGTCGATTCCAGCATATTCATAAGAATAAATCGATTAAAGCTCATGGGGTTATGTAAGAAGAATCGGTTATTATTCTGGATGAATATCATTCTTTAAATAAATATTAGTCAATGACAATAAGATATTAACAATAATTAGTTCATGCTGAGCCAATGACTGCAAGTAACCGAACCCTTTCTTATAAAAGAAACAGTTCATCATCATTCAACCATTTAATAGAGTTCATTTAATGAACATATTAGATCTCATCTATCGCTATGACTAGTCGGGCATGAGGCAGAATCATGCAGGCTGTAGAAACAATAATAGACTCGACGACCCTAACTTATTATTAATATCAGTGGGGCATGAGGCATAATCATGCATGCCGTAATACAATAATAAGATTATGGGGCTAACACATCTTTCAACCTATCGCTACTTCAACGATTTCGTGATGCGAACTGTTCGTGAAAGCGCTCGATATCGGCTAAAACAGTTGATTCAGGCATAGCGCACAGTTAAGGTCATATCCTCTCAGGAACAGATCAATTAAATAATGATCTCCACTCCACGGTGCTAACAGTGGGGTGTGAGGCAGAATCACACAGGCCGTGATAACGGGCCATGGAACAGTTTTCGCTAGCCAATAGATCTACTCAAGATCAAACATGTCTTAACCGCACACTATGTACGATCAAGATTGATGTAAAACAATCGATAAAACATAACTTATCATTTAAAGTGCAGATTAAATCAGTTTAAATTAATAAACGATGTGTTAAAAAAGATATAAGACCGATCTAGATCAATCCTAATCGGATGAAGTGATATTGCTGTAATTAAATAAATAATGGAAGGAATAAACAATATCGGTAACTTAATGAATCTATCTGAAGGAACGCTACCCTTAGATAGAGCCGATAACTTGACCTTAATCTAGTTCGAGCAGTGGAGGTCGACCGGATCGATGCAGCCGTACTTGAACTAGACAAGAGTCGATAACTAACTTATACCAGAGTCACAGTGGAGGCCGACCGGATCGATGCAGCCGTACGAACAGAGGTATAAGCAATGACGGTACTTACAGACAAACAGTGGAGGTCGACCGGATCGATGCAGCCATACTTGCTGAAGAACTCGCCGAGATCTACTCTACTCCTGCTCCTAAGGGGTGTCCAGAGCCGAAAAAAGTAAATAACTGGTATTTGATTGATTGTGTTCTTTACAATAGCTGGGGTTTGATATTTATATCCGGGACCTGCGCATGACTTCTGTCTAAGCACGACTCATCATGATTTTTGACCCTAAAGAAAACATTTCTAATTTAAGATAATTTGGACTCTAATCTTTTCCTTTTTGTAGAGTCCAACATGTCTCGTCCTGGCGCCGATCATAGCCTTTGTCGTTATCCGCTAGCGCTATCTGGAAAGCCAATTCCAGTTTTGCATTCGAATCAGCTGGTTCCGATCTGCACGCAATTGATTCCTTGATGACATGATCTTGGGAGTTTTCGAGTCCCTGTGACTCTTCTCCTAAATTTTGGTGTAAACACATGCACCCCAATTTTGGAATAAAAGTAATTTTATTCCAAAATTATCACGTCTGTGCCCTCGATAGGTCCGCAGTCACGGGTAAAGAATCTTGATCTGAGGTCTACTATTTCTCGCCGTCTATGTCAGCTCATGAGCCCATGCTTCAAAACTTTTATAAGAGCATTATTGCTTCACGGGCACTTGGATTCATCCTTCCAGGCCGGCTATAAAATGTCTATCCGACCCTAGCGAGAGCAACTCAACAATTCAGCCATGTTTCTCTTCTATCTGCCTCCTTGAGTGCTCCCGACTCCGCTGGACCCTCCATGGTATATCTTTTTGCTATGAAGGTCTTGAGCAGTTAAAAGAATTCTTGTGTATAGGGTGATTGTGTCTCCTATCTTAGCACCTTGTCGAGCAAGAGAATCAGTTACTGCGGTTAGAAGAATCATTGTGATATCGCCTGGGTCTTCTCTCCATGCTCGCAGAGCTGTTCTAGTGTTTGCTAAGGCTAAAATGCGTGGACACTTTCCCCTTTTTTGCTCAATCAAATGCCCATCGGGAAAGCCACAAGCTTCTTTCCAGCGGCTTCCCAATCACCGAGAGATCAGCTGGGCATCTGTTAGACAGATGACTTTTTCCATTCTCTGTCGTAATTTTATCAACGGGTCGATGTGACTCGGTTTATGATGACTTTTCGGCCCTGTGGGGATTCGAACTCCCTTCAATCCAAAGAAACCTTGGTGGGCTGATTGCTGGTCAATGTAAATCTTTTGTATATATCCCATGACATTCTGTAACTTGGGAAAGCAATAAGTCTGAATCTGTTATCTCTTTGTTATCTGTTTCCTGAATTCTCGGAGCGTCGATCCTTTTTCGTATCTGATTTCAATTTCACACCGCTGGTGAAATCTATCTCTTTGCCTTCCCGAGCTATATATACGGGTCATGACTGGGGATCAAAAAACAACTCGCTTCACCTCAAACCTTTCACGTCCTTAGTATAGTTCCTGCTCTTCCGTAGGTTTGAGATCATGGAGAATGGCAAGAAGTTTGTTGAGGAGGCCCTCAACGGACCTGCATCATCGCGTCAACGCCTTCATCGTCAAGAGGGTACAACTCGTGGTGCCCCCACTGCCTCGGGGGATAGGATCGACTCCGTTCGGCCTTTAAGGTCCTCTTTGTTAACAGCTCGTCATCAGCTCCCTTGTTATCAAAGGAGGCGGATTGACAACGATGATCTGCTTGCCTCCATTGCATGGCCAGAGTCTCACTAAATGTCTCTCCCTCGCAGAATCGGCTCTGGCCATGGTTCGATGTCGATCACCTCCCGAGGTCGATTCAGTGGAGGATAGGTTGGCCAAGGCTGAGGCCAGAATCACGGGTGAGATATCTGTCATAACCTTTGCTTCCTTTCAATTTCATCTTCAAGACTTTGATCATCTCCCCTTTGAATCTTTTAGATTTGTCTGTCCAACTGGAGAGCCTCCGGTTGGCTGCGGAGCACGCGGCAGGATTCGTCAATGCTAGAGGCGCCATCCCAGTGTTTCGCCTGCATGACATCCCGAACCGTGTCAGGGAGGTCGCTTTGCATGGCGTTCGCCATGGTGCCGCCATGGCGTTGGCTTCTGCGCAAGTCCATTCTGGCCACGAGCTTCGATTCCTTCCCCATGGTTTTCCAGCCGCGGCGCACCCTGGGGATTATGAACGCCTTATTGAGGATTTCTTCAGTGCTGCTAACTCTGTAGCCTTTATCTCTCAGGCCGATGATATAGTAGCCAAAGTGTTTTCTGGCCTGTAGTTTATAATAGGCGATATTAGTAAAAAATTTCTCTGTCTTGAGTGATTTTTCCTTTTGTTTTGTACTTCATACTATATGCATCACTTTGTCCGTGCTTGCTTTGCTCCAGCGGGCAGTACACATTGTACCGGCTTTTACCCCTCTGGGTTTATCTTCGCACTAGAAGCGATACTCTTCTGGTATCGGCTATTAGAGCTGACAACCGAGCAAATTGGTTGTCAAGTATTAATCCAAACGTTAGGGTAATATTCCTTTAAATATTCCCCATTTGATTGCTCTACCGAATTCTTCTTCTCCTTTTAGTGTTTCCAAAATATAAGTATTACTAGGCGTACAACGCTCGATCCGATAAGGTCCTTCCCAATTAGGCGACCACTTTGCTAGATTTGCTATTCTTTGACCCGATCGGCAATTTTACTCTCCAGACCAAATCTCTCTTAGAGAATTGCTCATTCTTGACCTTTTAACTGTAATATTTTGCAATCCTCGGTTCATGGGCTTCAATGTTTTCAAGAGCACGCAGCTGAAGGCAACTCAAGTTTTCTAAGTCATTCATCACAAAATTCTTGTAGACTTCGGCTGATAAATCGCTCTGCAACATAACGCGCCTCGATCTAGTTTGAACTTTCCAAGGAGGGACTGTATTATGGCTATACATGAGTTCATAAGGCAACTCTATCAACCTTTTTGCTCTTGGCCATCAAGGGTAATGCATCCTCAGCCCTCTCCAGAGTCTTGTCTCCCTTCTCCATTTTTGAAGATCAGGTCCTAAAGGCGACACAGGCTTCAGGGGAGCCTTTTGATCGTGAAATTCTTTTAGCCAAGGGGAACTCGAACAGGCATGAGGCTAAAGGATTTTTATAGTCGATTGATCACCTTTGTTCCGGCTAAAGAGCCAATTTTGAAAATGGTCGATTCCAGACTCTTGGTTTTAATCCTATCTAGGTCTAAAAATACGACCTTTATTAAGAGAGCTCTTCGATCTTCTATCCTTAGTCATCTGACGCCGTATTCTCTTCGGTATTAGTGAGGTGACGCTTCGCCTCCTATTAATTGCAGTTGTCTTTTACACAACCAGACGCGTTCACCCCTTTGTCCCGTGGCTTCAAATACCGGCCGAGGGCTCCGGCCTTGAACACATCTGCACTTGCAACCATTCCTGTTTCTCTACCTTTCTCCGCCCTCGAAGAACTCTGTAGCAGCCTTTCTCTCTTCATGTAGATTCAATCAACTTTATGGCCGGGGAGGAGAACCGTGGCAAGCGTGCGGCGGAGGAGGTCCTAGAGGAGAACCTAGCAATGAACCAGCGCCTCCAACGCATGAGGTGCGATTGATATCTCTGTTCATGATGATGATCTTTTCTGACTCGCTTATAGGTTTATCATGAATGATAGTCTGCGTCCCCTCCCCAGGGC